CTTTTAGAAAATACTAAATATATAAAGATGTATTCTTTCCTTATTATATCTACAAAATGATTTTAGGATAGATTTGGGATGATAATATGAACTGTCATAAAACAAATTAAGTAAAATATGATTATTTCCTAAAGCATGAATGAATAAAAGTACAGTCAAATGATTGATTAATAATGATATTAATGTATTTAATATTTGATTGAAAATACGAGATCATATACAATGTAATTGTAATTGAAGACTACGAAATGGAAGCACAAAACAATTTGTAAACCAACTGGCACACTGTATGTACATATATGGAAGATGGCCTGATGTTTTTATGTTTTGTTTGTTTATGTTTGTTTTAAAAACCAATAAAAATTTATAAGTAAATAAATAAATAAATAAATAAATAAATAAATAAATAAATAAATAAATAAATTAAACAATAAATATTATGAGGAGTCTGAGTGAAATATGGTTTCAGCTGGTGCAGTGACTGAAGGTAAAATGGCATCTATGGAGATTCTCAGTCATCCAGGTCATGGTTGAGGTCAAAGAGGCCTCAACTTTTTTTGGGGGGGGAGTGTTTTGACATTACCTCCTACTTCCTAGAGATGAGAGATGACTGCCCCAAGATCACCCAGCAGACTTTGTGTTTAAGCCAGGACTAGAACTAACAGTCTCTTAGTTGTTACTCTAGTGTCCTCACTACTGCACCAAACTGGCTCGCTAATAAGGACTTACATATAATGAAAAGAAAGTAACTATTGGTAATCCTGTAGGTAATAGAGCATTTCTTGCAATCTTTTGCAAGATTCCTTGCGAAAGGGACAGAAAGGATTCTCTTCTTTGACCAGTGCAAGCAGTGGTGGGATTGAATATTTTTTATTACCGGTTCTGTGGGTGTGGCTTGGTGGGTGTGGCAGGGGAAAGATGCTGTAAAATCTCGATTTAGAGGTGGTATTTGCTGGTTCTCTGAACTACTCAAAATTTCTGCTACCAGTTCTCCAGAACTGGTCAGAACCTACTGAATACCACCTCTGAATATAAGCAGGCTGTTGTTTGCTTTACCCATTTCTTTAAATTCTAGCGTGTCCATATTTTTGTCTTCAAATGGCTACAGAAATCTTCATTTCTGCAACTGTACTTTATTGCTATGCATGACTAGCTGGCCATATCTGTATAAAGAAAAAGATTATTGTCATACCAGAACTAACATTAGTGTAAAAAAAAGCAAATATGAAAGAAATATGTAATGTAAAATACATCAACAACCAAGATCAAGACTTGAAGTTGAAAACAGCTTGATGTTTTTTTCCCACTGCAAATTTCACAACTATTACAGGAAAAATAACTTTTTTAGAAATTGGCTTTTCTATTACATCTTCCTTTGGGAGTGGTCATTACAAACATTGTCTCTGTGATTACATCAGGGGAATAAACTGAAAGGGAAAAACATGTTTTCTTCCATAATACTGCAAATAATAAAACACAGTTAGGATGGGATCCATTAGCCCTATTTCTATGATCTTAATTCTTTTCTCCCTTGACTTTGAACATTCACTGTCATTACCAATTTCATATTTCAAAAGTAAAGAATTAATTATCTCTTCTAACCACTGGAATTTTGAATACAAAAGAGTTGTGATCCATCTGTGCAGAAGCAAGCAAATAATTTCAATGTTTCTTGATTTGCTTCTGTATTAAATAGTTTTTTTTTTTTTTTTTTTACCAAAAGTGTGTGAAATGAATAGCTTTTTTACATGAAGATGTATATGTTTTTAACCATTGGAGTGTTCATCCTTGTTTCCCTCCCTACAAGTGTTTGCAAGATTCCTTTCAAAAAATGTACTAGGACTGACCCTAGTCCCATTCTTCATAAATACCATGAACCAAGTGAATTCATTCTTGGTGGCATAATTTCTCAGAGCTTTGTTGCTTCTGAGGAGATCACATTCAAAAGGCATCCCTTTCCAGAAATATTTGTTGAGTTCATGTAAGGAGTTGGATGATTTAGAACTATATTGTAGCTCTGTCTAATAATAGTTAGAACCAAATGATATTTTATTTATTTAGTGGGGTGGGAATCTCTCCTGAAAGTGAATCTTTTTCTATATTTGATCAAATTCACTTATTATGGAGTAAGTGTTCTTTTAAATTAATGCTTTCAACTACTATCTATTTGGATACAACCCATTTGTATCTACCTGCTGTCTATCTATCATTTGTCTGTCTGTCTGCCTGCCTGTCTGTCTGCCAGTCTGTCTTCTTCCTGTCTGCCTGCCTGCTTATCTATCTGTCCATCCATCCATCCATCTATCGTCTGTCTATCTATCTATCTATCTATCTATCATCTACCTATCATCTATCTATCTTTCATCTATCATCTATCCACCTATCATCTGTCTGTCTGTCTGTCTGTCTATCTATCTATCTATCTATCTATCTATCTATCTATCTATCTATCTATCTATCTATTTATCATCTCTCTCTCATCTATCATTTTATCTCTATCTATCTCTATCTATTATCTCTATCTCTGTCTATCTCTATCTATCATCTATCTATCTTTATAATTGTTCTTGTGAATGGTGAAATAATATTAAACATAATATTTACAATGGGTATGTGTTGATCAGTGGAAAACCGTAGGTCCAGATTTCTTCTTTGGGAGACATATTTCCTTTCTGATTATTGTTTTATTTTGAGGAATACATTTAGCAGAACTGAATATCTGCAAATCATCATATTACATTTTTAAAAGAAGTAGTAGAAGAAGAAATTCATCCACTAATAAACATAGACCATATTCCATTCAGTCTCATAAGCAACGTAATGTACCGTATTTATCGGCGTATAACACGCACAGGCGTATAACACGCATCTTCATTTTAAGGGGGAAATTTCAGGAAAAAAAATTTAAAAAAATTCTGCCTGCCTGCCTTAGTTTCTGGTTGTTTGGGAGCAGCTTCGGCTGAGAATAATAACTATTCGCCTCTTTTACTCAGCCAAAGCTGTTCCGATTCAACCATTAACGAAGGCAGGCAGGCAGGCAGAACGGAGCACTGTGGGCGGGCGGGCGGGCGGACGGGGTGGGGGTGGGGGAGAGGCGACAGGAAAAGCCCCCCCCCCGCTTCTTTGAAGCAGTTTCTTCCTGTGCTGGTGGAGGAGCGAGAGAGCAACTGAGAGAGCTGACCCAGAGAGAAGGACAGGCTTCGGTTGCTTCCTCCCTCCCCTTCTTTCATTTGTGTCCTTGATCCCCGATCCCAGCAGCATTCACCGAAGGCTTCTTAACATTATATCGGCGTATAACACGCATACATCATTTGCCCCCTATTTTCAGGGGGAAAAAAGTGCGTGTTATACGCCGATAAATACGGTATATAATATAAAAACTGCTAGTATCAGTTCTACTGTGAACCTGCTGCAGAACAAGATCCCAACTTAGAACATGTACGAAAAGTAATAGAATTGGTTTGCTTAGCCTTAGCTGTTATCCTCTGAATTATTGCTGGTAGTTTTGGAAAGAGTTGGGGGGGTGGGAAGGAACAACAGTTTAATGCAAATTAAATATTTGCATGTGATGATGCACAAATATGTGAAAGAGGTGATGTGTACATGTTGACAATACAATACTGTTTTTGTCCTGTGAGTCCTGGATGCTGTGTAACATTGGTCACTTTGTTCATTCTCTGTGTGTGGTCACTTTAATCATGGACACTTCTCTTAGCTACGCTATTTCTGATATGTATTCCATGAACATGGAAATAGTTGATGTCTTGTTATTAATGGATGATATCTTGTAATTAATGTCAAGATTATTAGGAAAACCTTATATTTATTTCAAGTGGAGTTAACATGTATTGTAATTGACTGAGTCTATTTATTATTTTCCAATTGAATTACAGATTACTGATCCAGAGCTACCAACATATCTTGGCTCTGGTTTTTGCTGTAAAGGAGATTAATGCAGACCCTACACTCTTAACCAATATCACTTTGGGTTTCAACATCTATAACAACTATTTTGATCCAAAGCTTACATATGCAGCTACAATGGAAATTCTCTCCACACCAGGCAGATTCATCCCAAATTATAAATGTGATTTTCAGAATAATCTGGTAGCAGTCATTGGAGGACCTAACTCAAAGGATTTTCTTCATATAGCAACTATTCTGAGTAAATACAAGATTTCACAGGTAGCTCCTCCTCTTGACAGAGGAGAAACTGAAGAAGTCCTTGCAGAATGCTTATTTGAACATTAACTAAACACAATCAAACAACAAAAAACGAACTCCATAAAGGAGACTATGTAAAGTAAGCCCAACTATGGAGTACGCTGACCTTTATTTTACCATAATAACTATGTGAATTAAATATTTTAATATTTATTAGTATTAACAGGCTTCAGTTTAGCTGCTTATAAAATATATGCATTAAATTAATATCAGAATCATGTGATTTCAGTCAAAGATAGGCAATACAGTCTTAAAAACATACTGACAAAAATAAGGCTAAGCAACTATTCTTTCTCAAATGGATCTTTCTCCCAGCTTCTTCTTCTTCTTCTTTCACATATTCCTTTTCTTAGTTTGCATATACTTCTGCTCCAGAGACAAACAGACCAAATCAAGCAATTTCCTTTCATTGGATGTTCCCAAATGTGGATTATCAGTATCATGGAATTCTCCGACTGTTGCAACATTTCAAATGGACATGGATTGGAGTGTTTTATGTTGGTATTGGCAGTCAAACTGAAATGTTCCTTTGGAAAATATTACCCTTGTTTTCACAGCATGGGGTCTGCTTTGATTTTATTAGAGAATTAACAGATAAGGGTTTAAGTGAAGCTCAAGCTGTTGCATTGTCAGCAATTCCAAATATAAGTCTTGCATGGAAAAGCAGAGTGAATACAATTATCTTTCATGGAGAATATCAAGGGATAATATATTTGTGGATTCTACTTGAAGTTACAGCATTTCATCGTTTGTCAGAGAAAGCAAAGGTCTGGATCATGACAGCAGATGTGGACTTTACATCAGCCCTGTTTCAAAGAAACTGGAGCATTAATTTCCTTCACGGCTCTCTATCCTTGGCAGTCCAATATAAGGAAGTGTCAGGATTCCAGAGATTTGTTCAAACGAGGAAGCCTCTTTTGCATAAAGGAGATGGCTTCTTGAAAGAAATCTGGCAACAGTTATTTGATTGCGTGATTCAAAAATCTTCCTCTGAGACAGAGGACCAGAATATCTGCACTGGAGAGGAGAAGCTGGAGGCTCTTCCAATGACTGTTTTTGAAGCAAGGATGACTGCCCACAGTTACTGTGTCTACAATGCTGTCTATGGTGTTGCACATGCTTTGCATGCCCTGTTTTCATCCATAGATCAGCAAAGACCAGGAGTGACCTGGAAACTTCTTAAGCAACAGTCATGGAAGGTAAATCTCTTCATCAGAACTGTGAAAGATACATAACTATATCTTTTGATGCAAAGCAAAATTATAAACCCATTTTGTTTAACTGAGTCCAGCTGTCCGTGACCTGAGTGTCTCACATTTCCATTATATCAAGAGCCAATGGCTTCTTCCTGTTGAGTGCATATATTAAAATCTATGGCTAAAGCTTATCTGCAAAGCAAAAGGTTGAAATGAGGTGCCCAGTGCTTTGTTTTTCACACATCTTGAGTTTGCATTTTTGCTTTCACTTCTACAATTGTTTTAAGTCCCAAATCCCATCCATTACAATGCTGATATAATAAAACTTGTTCCAATCTGGAAGTGAATTATTTCTTCTTTTTATATTACAACCTCTTCTCCTTGTTTGGCCCTCTCCACTATCTTCGTAAGAATGTGTAAAATTCATTTCGGTCTTTGTCTGGTTCTGGTTTTGCAGTATATTTCACCAAGAAGTTTTTTTAGAGGAATGCATATTGTACTATGTTCATACTGATCCTGTAATCCAAACTTATTTTTAAAAAGTAATCTCATTATAAAATATCATCAACTAAATCTAGGAGTTCCTGATTTGGAGTTCTGTCAAATATATTGGGAAAATAAATAATTTCCTTTCAGAAAGATTTTTTTTTTAGTTCAAAAATGTTTGCAGCAAACACATCATGGTTGAGTCATGACTCTAATTTCTGTATATTTGAATTTTAGTTTTGGAGTTCTTATTCTAGAACCAATGTTCCTGCTTTCAAATATCGTATTGAAACTCCTGTACAATTTTATTCAACTCTGCATATGAAAAATGCGTATATCTTTCAAATGTATCGCATATCTATTTCAATATCAACAGTAATTTGCATAAATCATTTTTGCTCATTCTTATTTAGTTTATTTTTAAAAAATAGATTCATATGGTTATCATATATTTTGGAAACGAAGACGGAGGTAATGAAAGTGATACCAGATGCATTTTGACCATCAACTGTTTCAATTGAGATTTTCCAAAATATATTTCTATTAAAAAGTACTACTATAAATCTAGCAATTGTTAAGATAATCATGTAGACACCTTCTTGTTTCGATACTTCCTATATATTAATTAGGACATTTTAAATGTGCACAAGAATGTCAGGTTTTGTCCATAAGAAATAAATATAAGTTTTAAAAATTGTGGGAATCCTACTTAGAGATTAAGCTTTCAAAACATTATTTATCCTTTTTTAGAATGGAAAGAAGCTTAAAATTCTACTTCCACCAAAACCATGATGCAAATAGGAGTATTTGGTTTTTTTTCTTTGCTTGAATTTACCATGCTTTTATTTTTTTTTCTTACTTTTTTCTCTTTCCTGTTTAGCTTCACTATTTTCTGAGAGGTGTTTCATTTAATAACAGTGCCGGAAATAAGATTTCCTTTGATGATAATGGTGAATTCAGAGGTGGATTTGAAATCATAAACTGGGTCACATTCCCAAACCAGTCCTTTCTTAGAGTTAAAGTGGGAACCATTGATCCAGACCCACTCTCATATCACCTGCTGACCATTAGAGAGGGTGACCTTATCTGGCCCACCTGGTTCAATCAGGTAGAATCCCTGTAATGTCCATTTTGATTTATTACTTTGCCTAATATTACAAGGAGGTAAACATAAAGCTAAGCAAATTGAATTCAAGTGACTATACTGATAAAATGTATGCAGGTAGTCTTTGACTTACAACAGTTCATTCAATGACCATTCAAAGTTACAGCAGCACCGAAAAAAGTGATTTATGACTGTTTTTCATACTTACAACTCTTGCAGCATCACTATGATCACATGAACAAAATTCAAACACTCGGCAGCTGACTCAATTACAATAATTCATTTAATAACTGTGGCAAGGAATGGGGCAAAATTCATTTAACTATCTTGCCTAACAACAAAAATGTTGGGTTCAATTGTAGTCAAAAGTCGAGGACTACCTGTATTCTATTGCCTTGTTTTATTTCAAGAACTGTTAACAAATCTGAGTCCTCCTATGGATAGGTTCAGTATCCATGTGATATTTGTCATACAATTGGTAGGCTAGGTGACAAATTGTACAGTGGGACCCAACTCTTGGAGGGTAACTTCAGCTCAGGTGATATCCACAGGTTAACTTTGCAATAATAAAAGATGTGTCATTAAGTTCATAGTGTAGGGGGACTACAAGAAGCACTGCCCACAATAGCTGAAACATCTAGTTGATATATAGACTAGAAAGTGGATCTTCTTTTAGCCTGATGGCATTAGTTGTATGAGTTATTGGCCAGGAATTGTTTATGTTTCTGAATGCTGTTTTATTTAAGTCAGAAAGGTTAGAAAGATACTATTTAATATCACAATCTCAAAATGCTGTAATGACAATTTGTGAATATAATTTACAAATATATTAACCTATTTTTATTTCCTTCATGTGCAGGCATCCCCTCTCTCTTTGTGTAATAATAATTGCTCTTCGGGTTACCGAAAGACCTCGAGAGAAGGAAAACCATTTTGCTGCTATGATTGCATCCTATGTCCGCAGGGAGAGATCACAAATCAGACAGGCAAGAGAAATTGTGAAAGATACTGGATATCCCCCATCACTTATCACACTCAACTTCCTAACCTTTTCACAATGATTTAGTATCAGGTGAATGTGAAAATAGCAATGAAGGGAATATTGAATACATCCTGTATTAAGGCATTTTTAATGTCCTTCCTACCTTTAGTTCAATTCAATGTGAATGGTTTATCTTTTTCATTGTAGGATCATAAATACCTTTGAGATATTTATGCTTTTTAAAAAGTATTATAAAAATAAATATAATGGTCCTTGGTTAATTATTTTCATCCATACTTGGGTGGATTATGAATGAAATCCCCATGAAGTAGTATGTTATTACTAAGGTTAGTCATACAGTCAGCTGACATTCAGACTGGAATTGACATTTTGTTCATCTATCGTAAACTTCCCAAGGACTTTGTATAGGCAGATATGGATGCTTGAGGGTGATACAGATATTGTCACCAGATATTGTTTCCAAATAGCAAGGTAGCTCTTTAGGTAATTCTCCAAGAAATCCAATTACAATTGAGATAACACACAATTTCTTTTTTCAAAGTTGCTCAACTTCAATTTGTAAGTCCTGGTATTTTGTGAATTTTTCTTGCTGCTTGTCTTCAATTCATGCATCACCAGGTATTGCAATATCAATGAACCAAATCTTTTTCTTTTCAACTATTGTTATGTCAGGTGTGTTGTGGGCTAAGTACCTGTCAGTCTGAATTCTGAAGTCCCACAAGATCTTGACTTTTTCATTCTCCAGAACCATCTCAGCCTGATGTTCCCAGTAGTTGTTTCTATACTGAAATCCAAACTTTTGGCACAGTTTCCAGTGAAGAATTACTACTACTACTACTACTACTACTACTACTACTACTACTACTACTACTACTATTATTATTATTATTATTATTATTATTATTATTATTATTATTATTATTATTATTATTATT